ACATTTTTATGACAAACACTGCTGCCATTTTCTCACGACATTTATGTCCTACTATATTATGACACTTTTTATGACATTTTTATGACATATTATACGATGACACTTTTTATGACGTTTTTATGATGAGTATGCAATGACATTTTTTATGACGTTTTTGTGACATGTATACTCTGGAAATTTTTATAATATTTTTGTCATACTATACCATGACAGTTTTTATGACATTTTTATGACAGACTACAACTGACATTTTTTGTCTTTTTTGTCTTCCAAAATCACTAAAAAACGTCATAGTATGGCATGTCTTCAAAAATCACGGAAAAAACATCATAGTATAGCATGTCGTCCAAAATCTCTAACAAACGTCTTACTATAGCATGTCGTCCAAAATCATTAAAAATTGTCATAGTATAGTATGTCTTCCAAAATCACTAAAAAAACGTCATAGTATAGCATGTCTTCAAAAATCAAGGAAAAACATTGTAGTATAGCATGTCATCCAAAATCACTAAAAAACGTCTTAGTATAGTATGTCGTCCAAAATCAGTAAAAAACATCTTAGTATAATATGTCATCCAAAATCACGAAATATCGTCACAGTATAGCATGTCATCAAAAATCCTGAAAAAATATCATAGTATACTATGTTGTCAAAAATCTTGAAAAAAAATCTTAGTATTATATGTCGTCCAAAATGACAAAATATCGTCATAATATAGTATGTTGTCCATTATCACGAAAAAACATCATAATATAGCATGTCGTCAAAAATCATGAAAAAACATCATAGTATAGCATGTCGTCCAAAATCACTAAAAGACGTCTTAGTATAGTATGTCGTCCAACATCACTAAAAAATATCATAGTATAGTATGTCGTTCAAAATCACTAAAAAACATCTTATTATAATATGTCGTCCAAAATCACAAAAAAACACCCTAGTATAGCAAGTCGTACAAAATCACTAAAAAATCGTCATAGTATAATGTGTCATCCAAAATCATGACAAAATGTCATAGTACAGCATCTTGTCAAAAATCACGAAAAAACATCATAGTATAGCATGGTGTCCAAAGTCACTAAAATATATCATAGTATAGTATGTTGTCCAAAATCACTAAAAAATATCATAGTATAGCATGTCGTCCAAAATCATGAAAAAACATCATAGTATAGCATGTCTTCGAAAATCATGAAAAAAACATAGTATAGCATATCGTCCAAAATCATGAAACAACATCATAGTATAATATGTCTTCCAAAATCATGAAAAAACGTCATAGTATAGCATGTCTTCAAAAATCACGAAGAACATCATAGTATAGCATGTCGTCCATGATCACTAAAATATATCATAGTATAGTATGTCGTCAAAAATCATGACAAAACATCACAGTATAGCATGTTGTCAAAAATCATTAAAAATCGTCATAGTATAGCATGTCATCCAAAATAAGGAAAAAATATCATAGTATAATATGTCGTCAAAAATCACGAAAAAATGTCATAGTATAGTAAGTGGTCCAAAATCATTAAAAATCATCATAGTATAGCATGTCGTCAAAAATCATTAAAAATCGTCATGTCATCCAAAATAAGAAAAAAAATCATAGTATAATATGTTGTCAAAAATCTTGAAAATACGTTAGTATAGTATGTCGTCCATTATCACAAAAAAATGTCTTAGTACACTATGTCGTCCAAAATTATGAAAAAACGCCCTAGTATAGCATATCGTCCAAAATCACTAAAAAAATATCATAGTATAGTATGTCGTTCAAAATCACAAAAAGTCTCAGTATAGTATGTCGTCCAAAATCGTCATAGTACAGTATGTCTTCCAAAATCATTAAAAAACGTCATAGTATAGCATGTCTTCAAAAATGATGAAAAAACATCATAGTATACAATGATGTTTTTTCGTGATTTTGGACATATCGTCCATTTCTATGTTATACTATACTAGGGAAATTTTTATATTATTTTTGTCATACTATACCATGACAGTTTTTATGACATTTTCATGACAGACTACAACTGACATTTTGAATGTCGTAAAAAATCATGACAAAACATCATAGTATAGCATGTCGTCCAAAATAAGGAAAAAATATAGTATAGTATGTTGTCAAAAATCTTGATAAAATATCATAGTATACTATGTCGTCCAATATCACTAAAAAACATCTTAGTATAATATATTGTCCAAAATCACAAGAAAACTTCATAGTATAGTATGTCGTCCAAAATAATGAAAAAATATCATAGTACACTATGTTGTCAAAAATTTTGAAAAAACGTCTCAGTATAGCATGTCGTCCATTATCACGAAAAAACGTCTTAGTACACTATGTCGTCCAAAATCATGAATAAACGCCGTAGTATAGCATGTCGTCCAAAATCACTAAAAAAAGTCTTAGTATAGCATGTCGTCCAAAATCATGAAAAAATGCCATAGTACAGCATGTTGTCAAAAATGATGAAAAAACATCATAGTATAGCATGTCGTCCATTATCACGAAAAAACGTCTTAGTACACTATGTCGTCCAAAATCATGAATAAACGCCCTAGTACAGCATGTCGTCCAAAATCACTAAAAAAACGTCTTAGTATAGCATGTTGTCAAAAATCACGAAAAAATGTCATAGTATAGTAAGTGGTCCAAAATCATTAAAATTCGTCATAGTATAGCATGTCGTCAAAAATCACGAAAAACATCATAGTATAGCATGTCGTCCAAAATCACTAAAAAACGTCTTAGTATAGTGTTGTCCAAAATCACTAAAAAATATCATAGTATAGTATGACATCCAAAATCATGAAAAAACATCATAGTATACTATGCTGTCAAAAATCTTGAAAAAACATCTTAGTAAAGTATGTCCTCCAAAATCACAAACACATCATAGTATAGTATGTTGTCAAAAATCACGTTAAAACGTCATTGTATAATATGTCGTCCAAAATCACAAAATATCGTCATAGTATAGTATGTTGTCCATTATCACGAAAAAACATCATAGTATAGCATGTCATCCGAAATCACGAAAAGATGTCATAGTACAGCATGTTGTCAACGATAAAAAAACATCATCTTATAGCATGTCGTCAAAAATCACGAAAACTTGTCATAGTACAGTTAGTGGTCCAAAATCATTAAAAATCGTCATAGTATAGCATGTCGTCCAAAATCACTAAAAAATATCATAGTACAGTATGTCCTCCAAAATCATGAAAAATGTCTCAGTATTGTATGTCATCCTAAATCACAAAAAAAAAACATCATAGTAAAGTCTGTTGTCAAAAATCATGAAAAAACATCATAGTATACTATGCCGTACAAAATCATGAAAAAAAGTTTTGGTATAGTATGTCGTCTAAAATCATTATAAAACATCATAGTATAGTTAGTAGTCCAAATTCACTAAAATGTCATAGTAGTATAGTATGTCATCAAAAATCATGAAAATGTCAGTCATAGTATAAAAATGTCATAGTATATTATGTGAAAAAATGTCATAGTATAGTATGACAAAAATTGTCATAGTATAGTGTGTAATGAAATATAATTGTATTTCACAAAAATGTCATAGTATTTGACAAAAAATTACATAGTACAGTATGACATTTTTATTACATACTATAACATTTGTCAAAGTATAGTATGTGGAAAAAATGGCATAGTATCTCAAAAACTGTCATAGTATATTTTGACATTTTCTGTGATACTACACAATGCCATTTTTATCATACTCTATTGTATGACTTTTTTTTTGTCATATTACAGTATGACTTTTTTTTTTTTTTTTTTTTGGTATTGTTTGCCATAATATTTTTACGACAGACTATAGTCATTCCACCCTGATAGATCTCATTCTTACCAATAGACCAGGTCATTACACACATAGCTGTGTGCTTCTAATATATTTTTGGCATCACTGCCCTGTGGCCTGCATCAGAAATTGAACAACAAATATTTCAGGACCTCAGTGTATCTGTAAGAAGTCTTTCAAAAACAAACAGTCTTGCATGACCTACATGTTAGTGATCTCTTTCATAAATCCCATCCCAGATGCTGAACTGGCACTGCAGTGCTTTCTCACTGTTGTTATACTTAGGATTTAAAATAGACATCTTAGACATTACTGAACTAACTTACTCCCTCCCTCATCAGTTTGTGCTGGACTCTAAAGTTGTGACTGATAAAAAGGAGATTTGTAATACATTTAATGATCATTTTATGAAATCAGGCTTCCTGTTTGGCTCAATGGCATGTATGAGACACCAGAGCGTCATGATAATGTCTCCACTATCTCAGAGGAAGAGAGGGTCTTATTTTCAAGAAACATTTCTTTCACATTCAGACCACTTTACCATTTTGAAGTTTATCATGCTTTTTGTAATTCCAAGTGCATGAAAAGCTCCTTGGGCACAGACCAGTTAGACTCCTACCTCCTAAAGCTTGCTGCCCGATCATTGCGATGTCCTCGATGCCCCTCCGTGATCTGAATTGCTATAGGCCTATCTCCAAACTCCAATGTCTAACAAAACTGTTGGAATCTTTTGTAAATGAACAGCTCCGTACTTTTTTTCATCTGCAAATGCCACTTTAAGTCAGTCAATCGCACCTGAGTCATAAAAATTATAGTATAGTATAGTATAATATAAAAATGTAATGCAATGGTATGTCAAAAAACGTCACACAATCATAGTATAGTATGCCATAAAAAATTAGATATGTTGTATTTAGATTAAAAAAACAAACAAACCCATAGTTAAAAGAGGAAAACAACACATGCATTTTCATGTCTTTGTGCATACAGTTTGATTGATCAGGCTCCAGCATGGCTCTTTTGAGATAGAATTTATTTACATTTCTGCTTACGGATGTACTGTACTGTGTCCCCTTTGATCCTCTGTATATGAATATAAAAGAACATATTACAAGGCCATAATGACACATCAAACTCTAAAACTTGACTTTTTTCATCCTCAAAAGGAAAGCCATGTGGCTCTGCAGGGGAGATTACAAATGGACTGTTTACATACACTGGAGTGGAGTTTGGAGACACTGCTACAGCTGTCTGCGATGATGGGTAGGAAAAATTCCTTCATACTGTGCTGCTTTCTTTACACTTAAAATATTTTGTATTTTTCATCTCTGAAACTGCTGCATTTTGATTCATCCTTTCATCAGGTATCGCCTTGTAGGACAGGCAACCAGACACTGCATGAGTCAAGGCTGGGATGGACGTGAACCTACCTGTGAAGGTGCAGTGACCTACCGTAGCATCATTTTATTTAGTCACCTTTTTTCCTTTCACTTCAGCTGTGCTAAACTCTGTTTCTCCTCCAGCTGCGGCGTGCGACGAGCCTTCAGGAGTGACAAATGCAGTCATGACCAGCCCTAAAGAGCCACCGTACACATACAGGACTGTGATTCGCTATCACTGTCCTGTGGGAACTCTTATTGGACAGAGGGACATTTGGTGCACCAAGGACGGGACATGGAGTCATTCTCCTCCTACATGCAGAGGTTGGTGACAGAGCACTTTAATCTTTATGCAATGTTATTTAGTTTTGTTTTTTTTTTTTACCTGAATTAAAATAAAATCATCTTCCATTTCCTCACAGAAATAACAACATGTCCATCTCCAAATGTGCCCAACGCCTACTGGATGGGAACTCACAACAACATGTATCAAGAGAGGGACACTATATATATTGAGTGTACTGCGGGCTACACAAGGATTGGCCCCTACGCTGTTACCTGTGGTCGAGATGGCAATTGGTACCCTCGCCTGCCCTCATGCACACGTAAGTAACACATTCTTTGTTGTGGATGGGTTATTTAACATTTTTAGTTTTACAAAACTTAAAATTTTGATTACCACTTGTTGTTTTAGCACGTCGCTGGAGGAGCAGATACGGTCGCTGAAAAGTGAAACCACAGTATTTAATCAAACCTGGTTAAACAGCAGTCAGAGGAGGATGGGAATAAAATGATATCTTAGACTACACAATGCCTTCCTTCTGCAAGAAATAATCATCATAATTCACCTTTTTAATAAAGCACAAATAGTGATATATTTTCTTACTTGCTCATAAAATGTGTAAAAACATTATACAGACATTAAAATATGTTTGAAATGAAGCTGAAGTACAGTATGTTTATTTCGATAAGTGTTTTGGGCAGTAACAAGTACAAACTTGTTTCATTCACCTCTGTACATAGTTTTCTTTTTTTTTTTTTTTAAACAGTTGATAATGTTATGTGTATCATCTCTATAGACTAAACGGTGAGTGAGCATTTCATGAACAAACAAGCTACAAGAAAATAAGAACACCAATTCCATTCATTTAAAAAGACAATACAAAATCCAGACATTTCTTTACATGAGCAATAACAATTCAAGTGCAAATATCATTATCAACTCTATGATACATCATAGCAAACTCTCGTTAAAAGGCAACAATAAAAAAAAAAAACAGAAAACAAAAAAACTTATCAGGTTGCAGGAAAGAAGCTGATTCTTGGTGGGAGGGGGATTTTTGGGAATGAGGGCCAAGTGAGCGCGCTGGGATGCTGCCTGCTGGCGTATACTGTAGCACACGGAGATATTGGAGACTAAATGTACAGAATCTGAGAACTGCATAGAGGAATTTCAAACTGACATGAGATGGCTTGGCCCAGCATCGCCCTCAAGTTTGACAATGTGGTCAAAATCCCTTTGTGTCATCCTAAAGTTTAGGTACATCATATAAAGTGTACCACTTCACTTATTTTTATTTACATGAGTGGGGATGAAATAAAGTCAGAGAGCAAGCGTTGACTCAATTTAATTTCTTTCAGAGGGTTGAATGTACAGGATGGGGTGTTGGGATTATCTGTACCAATTTGACTGCAGTGGTGATGCTAATGTTGTTAAAGGAATAGTCCTTAGGTTTTGGGAAATACTTTTTACTTCCTTCCAGGGAGTCCTTCCTGCAGCCCGATACACCAGCTACATGCAAGTTCTCTCTTACGTTAGGGTGAAAAATCCACAGTGAATGATATGTTAAAACAAGTTGCACCTTGGCCCCCAGGAACACCGCTTAGCCTTACTTTGATTTCCTCTAGTGGCCACTTATTGCAGCAAAAAATGCCTGACAGGACACCTCAGACTGCAAACAAGGTCAATTATGACTTTCTATTGAGAATTTTTGACCTACGGAGGTTTTATATTCGAAAAATGTTCCTTGAGCCGAGAAAAGAGATTTAAAATCAGTCTATGAGCCAGGTAGTAACTTGTAGGCGTAGCCAATGGGGTAAACTCTACTGCGCATATTCATTGGCCTGCATACTGCGGAAGTAAACCTGTAAGCTAGAAACTTTTTTGGGAAATGCACCCGATGAGCAATTCCATTGGACAGACTGGGTGCCATCTTGGGGTCTGGTATCTAGTTGTTATCTATCTGTGGTTGCACCATAGAGACGCAAGGTTCAAGCTACTTTGGCATTAAGTCCACACTATCTAAATCATTGTTGCAGAAAATGACGTTTTCACTTCCTGTGGCCAATCAGTGAAAAGCACTGCTAGGCAGATGAAATTGTAATGTTATAATGAACGCATGATTACCTACACTGGCAAATTGTTAGAGGTATAATTATAGATGACAACTACACATTTCTATTTGCTTGTATAGGATATTTGTTATTGTCCATTTACTTGTGTTATTTTATGTGTATGCACTTGATTTCGCATGTTTACACCCCCGTTCTATTTCTAGCATTTCTATTTTGAGTATAAAAGACACAAGATCACCGAGGGTTTATTCTTTCACAAAAAACGTGTTGCCGATACAAAACAGCCGGTATAATTAGCTCCTCATACTCCAGTTATCCCACGTTTCAAAACTATGCAGCATGACAACCTCTATTTTACTGAGGACTTTAAACCTACCAAGGGCTAGGTGTAAGATTTAACATGGCTGTATTTCACTTGGTGCAACCCTTAAAATGTTAGTAGCACGTTAACTCAACCAATGTTACATTGATTTACGCTCAAACCAGGGTAAGTTTGAACTCGCTTGTAGCTGGTGCAACCCAGTGCGGTGCTGGAGTCTTTGAGGTTGCTAGGCAACTCCCTAGAAGTAGTGCTACAAAAACCCCTGCAATTTAACATTTAAGTTACTGTAGTGATTAAACAAACAAGATGTAATGTGTTGATTAGTGAGTTTTAGAGGTTCTGGCAGGCAGATTTATTTACCTTTTGAACAGAGCCATGCTAGCTGTTTCCAGTCTTTGTGCTAAGCTAACGGTCTCATGGCAGTAGCTTTATATTTACTGATCAGATGAGAGTGGTGTCAGCCTCATTTAATCTCCAGAAAGAAAGCGAGTAGGCGTATTTCCCAAAACACTGAACAATTCCTTTAACTACTTAGCAGATCCTAACATGAAGCAAAGTGTTAGATTTTTAAAACTTAAATCATTTTACCCTGTTTTGGTCGCTGTTTTGAACTCAAAGAATTTTTTTTTGTTTTACACACCAAATACTCAGTTTTTATAACATTTGACACTATACATATTTTTTTTGTGTTTCTCTGGATAAGAGAGCAGTTACATGTTGAAACCTAAACATCTTCTGCCCATCTTGACTGATAAATATTTAATACAATGAGTCTCAACAAGAATGCAACCTTAAACACATTTCACAAGCTTCGTTGTGGGTCTCAATAGTGTTTAAGAAAACTGAGATGTGTTTTTATTCATTGCACTTTGTACTCAAAGGTAGGATGATGGGCTTTAAATTTAGTGCACAAAACAAAGTGACCCGCCCCTTTTTTTGGGCGGTCTTTGGAAGATCTGTCTTCATTGGGACAGAACAAAACATGAGCGGGGTGTTTGAAGTGGTCACTGGGTGTCTTTGGATTTGAGACTGGTGGGGCAGAAAGTGATTTTAGGGGTCCTGCGTAAAAGAAATTTAGGATTAAAGAATTCAACCCTCGTTTAATTTATTTTCATTATTTACAAGATTGAAATAAAAACACGATAAAACTGGTAGTCCACAGACAGACAATGTGAGATTATCAACTTACTGTGTGTAAGAACTAAAGTATTTCAGGCTTGGAGCTTCCTTTAGTTTTAAACCTAGAGTCTATTAGTGTGTCGAGTACATCAGAAAGACAATATGAGATTGAAGAATTAAAGTGACCTTTTAAAAGAAGCAGCAAACATAATGTCCCTCAAAGACATCTCTCTCTCTCTCTCTCTCTCTCTCTCTCTCTCTCTCTCTCTCTCTCTCTCTCTCTCTCTCTCTCTCTCTGAGACATGTTCCACTAGACATCACATTATCTCATTTCTGTGGCTCTCACAATTATAAGTTTGTTATTCATCTCCCAAATGTCCACTATGTTCCTGGAATGATAAACCACCTGTTTGTATTTGCTTTGAGTTGAAAAAAATAAAAGAGCAACAGAAATAATCTTAAGGTTGGAAAACGTCAGCACAGTCTAGACAGACGGAACAAAACATAGATTAACTGTTTTAACAGTAAAACCCTTGGAAACTGCTCTAAGAGCTCAAATATAGTAAGGCTTTGAATGACCTGGAACGCAGCTGCGACATGAATTTAACAACCGCTCCTCCTCGAGGACAGCACACAGACACTGAAGATGGAACCAGGGTTACACAACACTTACACAACACTTACAGTCATACTTAATGGTAGGAGTTGGAGCTGGAACTCACACTGCTCATTTTAGCAAATACAATGACAAGCTTGATCAAGCTCAAACCGCGCACACAAAACGTCACTCCTACTGTCTGAAATAGGCGTTTCTATTGTTTGGTTTTGTGGTTGCATTGCACAACAGAAACCAAACCCACTCACGTACTCTACATCCCCACTAAATGCTTGAGCTCGGGACTGCAGACCTGCGCTGAATGGAAACTGCCAAAAAAAATTCCTAAAACACAAATTGTCAGTATTTCTCAGGTCTGCATAGTGTTTATTGTCAAAGCCTATGGAAAATAAGAGAGTGTAAACATACTAGTATGTTCTTAAGTCCTGTGAGAGTTGTGGGATGTGGCCTGTAAGGTGGAGGGGGATGTCAGGGGGGAGGAGGTGGGGGTCACGATCCGGTGCTTCAGCAGCTGTGCGAGCTTTACTTGTATGGCCGCAGGAAAGCCGACACTTTGCTGCTTATGAGGCGAATGAAGGAGCGAGGAAGCATCTCGTTGGACTCCCGAGTGGTGTACTTAAAGTAGTTGTTTGGGTGAGCCAGCACATCAAAAAGAGTCTTAATCAGTTTTTTATCCTGTGGGGAAGAACAGATGGGTGTGAACGCCACACTTCAACGCATATCGTCATCCTTAATAATAGTTTGAGTAACATTTGAGGCTATTACACAAGGTTGGAAAACAAATTGCACACCTACTACATGACGATATTAGCAGATCTTTTCAATATTCGTCTGACTCATACAAGTACTAATGTTTGTTGGCAACAGCTTTGTTTATCCTAATAACATCTTAAAGGTACAGATTATTGGTTGACTGAGTCACCTCTCACAGGTGGTCTTTTGTACCAACATGAAATGAACATAGTGAGAAGATCTGCTAACCTTGAGGATTTCTTGATGGTTTTCTGAGGCGTAGAGTCTTCCATCTCGCACTATGTCCTCTACCAGCTGTTCATAGTCCTCTGAATTTAAAAAAAACACAAGACACAATTATAACTTGTCACGTTATGAAATGATGTAAACAGGCTGTGTGTGTTCACAACAAGTTAGGTGGTGAAATAAATAATAGGCTGTGTCAAAAAACATGTTGAGAAATTCTTTGACTTATCACCTGTTGGACATTAATACAGACCGTTTAAAGATGCAGTTGGTAACTTATAAAAATTGTTTTATTTGCTGATGTTTTTGGTGTTTTTGATGGCATTTGCAAGTGTCCACAGCATCTGAACATAAACAACCAATTAGAGCCAGGGAGTCTCTAAAGACCTGACAGCACACCGACAGCGAGTCAAAAAACCAGCCCCTATTTTCAATGTACAACCTCACATCGGCAATGGCTAGACACATGTCTGCACTCCTGGACTTGCTGC